ATTTGTAAGACCCTCCACAGATCCAGTAAATTTGAAGTGTGTGGCTTCATTACTTTACGAGATAATTGGAGACAAATATGCTGTTAGAGGCTAAAATGTCATTTTTTTCATGTATTACCCAGCTTCAAAAGACGATTACTCAAAAACTGCAGGATGCCCGCGTGTGGAACTTTTTTTCTAAGAAGTTTAACCATTTTACTACATAAAAATCATAATAAAAAGTATTACCCAAGACGCTGGAACGGAACTCACTTTCTGACCACTTTCTGAGAGCTAGCCTATGGCCTAGGGTTTTTTTTGTAATGTTCGATTCCTGTGGCTTCCTGTGTCTCGCTACAAACTTAACTTCCCTCAGTTCGCTCCTATGATGTGTTATAAACTCCACTCAGTTCGTTGCTGTTCCCAGTATCATCTGCCCTTCATTCAGTAATCACATTCCCTCCATATAAGCTTCTCTTTCTTCTCATTCTTTGTCAGTAGCACATTTGAGGTAAAGAGGTCATTATAGATACTACTCTATATTTCTTTACATATTTTTGCAATAAAACACTGCCTCTGCACTTCAGCAGAAACACCTCTGGGTCTATGGAGTTTATATTTCACAGCATCTTGATTTTTTTTAAATAATATCAGAGAAGGTTGTCGCAAACTTACCCCCAAAAAATCAATTATGCTTTATCTTTGTACCAAATGATGGATACCGATTCTCTCACACAACTTTAGATCAGACTACAAGTAAGCTGGAAAGAAAGTTTTTTTTCCCGATTCACTAGAGTTGTTATTCCTTTAGAAAGACTGTATAAAACATCAGAAATAACTTTAGAAACTTATTGTAGGAATAGGGAAATAAGTGTGGATGCACGTTTCTTTTTTTAATTAAATAATTAAATGTATGTGCGTAGCAACTGATGTGTCATCTCTGTGAGTTTGGAAAAAATTGTGTCCTAATGGGTTAACTCAGGGTTACATGGCAATCTTCCCACAGTCCAAAAAATGCTTTAGGTAGAATGGTGATTAAATTGACCCTAGATTAAAGGTGTGTAGAACACTGATGGATGGATGGAACTTGTCTGGTGTCTCTTTTCCTTTAACCATCAAATGATTTAATAGAAACTGCTACATGTATTTTCATTCAATCTTGACATGCCTGTGAATGTCCTATATAACGTGCAAAGAATTTGTTATTACAGCTCCCATGTACTGACTTCAGATGTGAGTATTGAGGAGACTGCGCAGGCTGCTGAGTTTTTCCTCTCAGATGGAGTAATCATCACAGGAGCAGCCACAGGTGTGCAAGCTGACCCACGTGAACTGAAAGGTACTAACAATGATTTAAATTCAGCCAATGCAGTGAGAGATATCAGTAATGTGTTCTATACATATTGCTTCAAATAGTACGTGAGAGCTATAGAATTTAGCATCTTTCAGCTTGGATTTTATTGAAGGTTTTCTTTGACTGATCATTTACATTATTGAAATGAAAAAGCACACAGGGCTTGATTATAAAAATATTTTAGCATCAGTTATCAGACATTATCTTGTTTGATTTTCTAAGCTACCTTGTGTGATGCAACCTTCACTAATCGTATGTGCTTTCACTTCATTAAGTTATGTTTTTTTAACAGATTAATATGTTTTGCTGGAGAGAGCTGGAAAGAAAACATATATCTTTTAATATGAATTCAAATTACCTATACATTTATCTAACCAAAATATGTTTATAGATTTGTGATACTTCTCTGACCTTACTTTTGCAGTGGTCTCTGAGTCTGTGAAAATCCCAGTACTGATAGGTTCTGGAGTGACGTATGAGAACATCGAATGCTACCTCAGTGCAAATGGAATTATCATTGGCTCACATTTTAAGTATGGCGGCCATTGGGCTAATGCAGTGGACCATCATAAAGTAAGGATGTTCATGGGGAAAATACGAAATCTCCGAAAATGAAATGGAAGGTATTCTGTGATTATCCCAGTGTTTGTATAACTGTTTATAACTGTTATATTCGGACTGCTATGTTATGGTATTTTATATTATATATATATATATATTAAGGGTGGAACGGTTCACAAAATTCACATTTTCGTGGTCACGGTTTTCGTTTCGGTATATGTTGATTGTTAGGAAAATCTATTATGTCTTGTATAGTCAGGTTAAAACTGAAAGAAAAAAAGCAGTCTGACATTTGATATCATTGTGACAGTCTTAGGTTAAAAGTAGGTGAGATTCTGGCATCGCAAGAGAGGAAACAGTGCTAGTTCTAACATGTACTTCACTCTGCAATGCAAAGTGGTCCCATACAGCAGAACTATAAAGCGCGTCAGATTTCTATCTGCTACACCGGTTACGCTGCTTAGCTTCTTCTTCTTGTTTAGTACTGGTGGTTGGCTTTGGGCGCAGTACCGCCACCTTCTGCTCTGGAGTGTACATGCTTCGCCTATGAGAAAAAGGAGCAGCGCATGAACCGAACACGCGAATCGAACCGAGACAGTCGAACCGAACGGTTCGGACAGTTTTCATAAACCGTTCCATCCGTACAATCATAATCACAATTGTACCAAAACAGCTGGTTTAACATTACAGAGATTTTCATAAAGAACAGATGTATTTACTGTATATTCACTTTACATAAATTCTACATGGGTAAATAATAATTGGTTGCTGAATGAATAAACTACATGCTTTTTTCAACCGAAGAACTGCTTTTTGTCAAGTGTATTGGCAATAAACTATATTGCCAAAAGTATCTGGAGGCCTGCCTTGACCCACATATGAATTTAAGACCGCCAATTTTTAGTCCATAGGTCAAAATGATGTTAATCAAGCCATAAGGTCTTGATCTGTTCTGGGAAGGCTGTCCACAAGATTTGTGCACACACAAATCTTGTGGACAGCACACAGTAAAGACCAAAGGTTTGGACACACCCTTTCATTCAAAGAGTTTTCTTTATTTTCATGACTATGAAAATTGTAGATTCACACTGAAGGCATCAAAACTATAAATGAACACATGTGGAATTATATACTTAAAAAGTGTAAAACAACTGAAAATATGTCTTATATTCTAGGTTCTTCAAAGTAGCCACCTTTTGCTGTGATTACTGCTTTGCATACACTCTGCATTTTTTTATGTTTTTCAAGAGGTAGTCACCTAAAATAAATTTCACATCAAAGGTGTCCCCTGTAAGTTTTAATGTGTGGGATTTCTTGCCTTATAATTAGGGTTGGGACCATCAGTTGTGTTGTGCAGAAATCAGGTGGATACACAGCTGATAGTCCTACTGTATGGACTGTTAAAATCTGTGTTATAGCAAGAAAAAAACAGCTAAGTAAAGAAAAATGGGTGGCCATCATTACTTTAGGAAATTAAGGTCAGTCAGTCCGAAAAATTGGGAAAACTTTGAAAGTATCCCCAAGTGCAGTCGCAAAAACCATCAAGCGCCATCAAGAAACTGGCTCACATGAGGACCGCCCCAGGAAAGGAAGACCAAAAGTCACCTCTGCTGCAGAGGATAAGTTCAATGCCACACAGAGTTCTAGCAGCAGACACATCTCTAAAAAAAACTGTTAAGAGGAGACTGTATGAATCAGGCCTTCACTGTAAAATAGTTGCTAGGAAACCACTGCTAAGGACAGGCAACAAGCAGAAGAGACTTGCTTGGGCTAAAGAACACGAGGAATGGACATTAGACCAGTGGAATTCTGTGCTTTGGTCTGATGAGTCCAAATTTGAGATCTTTGGTTCCAACCATTGTGTCTTTGTGCAACACAGAAAAGGTGAACGGGTTAACTCTACATGCCTGATTCCCACCGTGAAGCATGGCAGAGGAGGTGTGATGGTGTGGGGGTGCTTTGCTGGTGACACTGTTGGGAATTTTTTCAGAATTGAAGGCATACTGAACCAGCATAGATACCACAGCATCTTGCTCTTCCATCCGGTTTGCGTTTAGTTGGACCATGATTTATTTTTAAACTGTACAATGACCCCAAACATGCCTCCAGGCTGTGTAATGGTTATTTGACCAAGAAGGATAGGGTGCTGCGCCAGATGACCTGGCCTCCACAATCACCGGACCTGAACCCAATCGAGATGGTTTGGGGTGAGCTGGACCGCAGAGTGAAGGCAAAAGGGCCAAAAAGTGCTAAGCATCTCTGAGAACTACCTCTTGAAGCACATCAAGAGAATGCCAAGAATGTGCGAAGCAGTAATCAAAGCAAAAGGTGGCTACTTTGAATAACCTAGAATATAAGACATATTCTCAGTTGTTTCACACTTTTTTGTTAAGTATATAATTCCACATGTGTTAATTCATAGTTTTGATGCCTTCAGTGTGAATCTACAAGTCATGAAAATAAAGAAAACTATTTGAAGGTGAAGGTGTTCCAAACTTTTGGTCTGTACTGTATACATATATATATATATATATATATAAAAATATACTGTATTGTCTGCACTATAAGACGCACCGGATTATAAGGCGTACCATCAATGAACTGCCAATATTAAAATTTTTCACATATATAAGGCGCACCACACTGAGTGGCTGGGGTTGCGTTATGCAAAGTAATTTCATTGTACGGGATGCCGGAAAATGATTGATAAAGTATATTTGATTTATTGATGCATCCACTAGATGCAGCTGCCCTAAAGAGAACGTCAATCAAACAGTCAGATAAGTAAGTTCAACTTTATTAATTAACTTTATTATTTACAATATGACCAACCTTCTTCAGCTGTAAACACACACCAAAAAATTATACATTTCAATTTTCCAGTTCATTTCTCATCAACGAATCCCTCAAATTCTTCTTCAGTGTCCGAATTGAACTGTTGGGCAAATACAGGATCCAACATGCCCGGCTCTGTCTCGTCAAAGTCGTCATTATTTGAGTCAGTGTCACTGCTGTTGTCTGGCAGTTCAGGGCAATTTCTGCTGTGGTCCGAGCTGCCTTCTTGAAAGCTCGGACCACAGTTGAGACTGATATATCAGCCCAGGCATTTAGGATCTACTGGTAGATAGTGGCGTGTGTCGTTTGGCGCTGTTCGACTGCTTTTACGCAGTTTGCAGTCTAGCTTTGAATGCCCTGTTGACACCAACATGTAGCAGCTGGAGTTCTTTTGTCAATCCACCCGGAATGATGGTAAGCACTGAATTAGTGGACTTCACTTGTTTTTTACTCCATCGCTTATATGGGAGCGCATCGAGTTACTAATCAACAGGGATGGAGCTGTGTGAAAAAAGCCACCCTGTCTCCTGACGTAAGTTTCTCTCAACCACTCACTCATCTTCTCTTCATCCATCCATCCCTTCGAGTTAGCTTTGACGATGACGCCGGCAGGAAACTTTTGGCAAGTTCATCCTCTGAAAATAACCATGGGTGGAAGTTTGTGGCCATTAGCCTGGCAGGCGAGAACTACGGTGAAGGTTGACTTCTCATTCCCTTTGGTGCGAACATTCACGTACATGCTTCCGTTTTTTCCACAGTGCAGTTCACAGGAATATCACAGGTGAGTGGAACCTCGTCCATGTTGAAGATGTGCTCTAGACGGATCTTTTTTTCAGTGATCTTGTTTTTGCAGTATGTGTGGAAAGTGACCAGGTTTTTTTGGTAATCTTTTGGCAGTTGCTGCTAAACAGTACTTTGCGTACGGATAGAGAGATTACGTCTTTTCCTAAACCGATAGCACCAAGAAGGACTGCCTTTAAAGTCAATGAGGTTTGGGCAGTCAGACGGGGGGGGCTGGGGGATCTAAGAACTTGGGATCCTGGTGTTCTCTCGGGTTGCGGGGCTGGGTGGTTCTCTACGGTGGTGACTGGGCCTTTCGCCTGGTTGGTGGCTTGGGGGTGCCCTGATGGTGCTATCCTGCGGCGTGGGGTTAGCCTGGTGCGGTGGCCTCCGGCTCCTGGCCGGGTGGCCGGTCTGCTCGGGCATGGGCCGGGGTGGGTGGGTGGGTGGTGGCAGTGGTGGTGGGGCTGGTGGTGCTGTTGGGGCAGTGTACGTCCTTTCATCGGTGGCTGCGTGGGCGCGGCTGGGCGATGGTCGGTCCAGGACCAGACTGTTGTAACTGAGTTTGCTTGGGTGTGTGAGGCCTCCCCCTCCCGCCCACCCCCTTTTATTCATTTATTTATTCATTTTGTCATTTATTTGGAAGTTATTGCCTTAATCTATTTATTAGTTTTATTATTTACTTATTTATTATTATTTCCTTTATTCTTTTTTTCTTTTTTTTTGTCCTCCCTCCCCTTCTCCCCATTTTTCCCCTTCTCCCCCCCTCTTCGGGTGTGGTGGTCCCTTCGGGGGGTGGTCCCCTGCGGTTGCCGGGCCCGGACCAGGGGGATATTCTGACCTCCAGGCAGGGGCGGGGCTCTGGGAGCAGGGGCGCCCAATGCAGCCAAGTGCGGCTGCCCTCTCCGCGGGGCTGTGTTCTTCCCGGTTCGCTCCCCCTTACCCCTCTCCCCCTCGGCTCCAGTACACAGAACCCACTCACTACATAGGGATTCGGGATTATGGGGGTGTGTGCGGGTTGAGGTTAAGGGTGCCTCCTAGGAGGTTCTCTTTTCTCTGCCCTGTAGGACCCCCCGTCTCCTGTTTAAATGGCACCATAGACATTACCTCTGACCACCCCAGGGGGGTGGGTGTGTTGAGCAGGGTTGGGGGGTGAGGCTCTTCGGGTAGTCGGGATTGCTCGGTGGGCGTTGCTCTGTGACTCTGCAGGGCGGCCTGCTTATTTGTGTGTCTCTTCCTTGTGTCTGGTTGCAGGTGGTCCTAGAGGTTCTCCCTCGGGTTTGCCCACAGTATTTTTTGCTGTTTGTTTTTGTTAGTTTGTGTGTGTCTCCTCGTAGTGTTTGTTTGCAGGTGCCTCAACGGGTTCTCCCTCGAGTTTGCCCACGGTGACGACAGGACATCTTTCCACAAATACAGCAGCTGATTGGATGGTTTTGTTATCTTTTCTTTTCTTTTCCTCTCTTCCCGTTTTGATGATCTCTCTTCTTTTCGGCGCGTGTTGTCTTTACCTTTTCTCTATTCTCTCATCCTTTTTCAAATTTTGTTTTATTTAATCTTTTGTTACTTTTTTCCTCATTTTTTTCTCTTTTCCTGTCCCCAGGTCAGGTGTGGCATTAACCATCTTACTTCTGTAACAAAAATAAATAATAAAGCAGTATTGGATGATCGAGGGAGGCTTCTCACCCTGACAGGCCTCCCTCGGCAAAGCAAAAGTGTCGGGCAGAGCAGGGCGCTCAGATTACAATTCTGTTGCCATAATGCTAAACACGACAAGGGGATATATATATATATATATATATTTTTTTTTTTTAAGTCATTGATGTTAAGTTTGCTTGCTAGCACTGTTGCCTTCATTAAAATAGTGACTGTTGAGACACTTCGACTTGCTCTG